GATGGTAAATGCAGGAGCAGGAGAGAAGGAGCAGTGGATGGGAAGGTACAAGGGAGGGACAGCAGTCCCTGAAAACCTTCCCAAGATGTTGAGCAACTCATCTTGTCGGTGAGTCACTTCATATAAATTCTCATGGCAAATTCTCTGGAATATGACTCAATGCTTCTCTCCTGGAATTGTAAGGGGACTTAATTAATTCATCCATCTATTCATTGGATGAACAATTGCAAGAATATTTGGTGCAGCCAGGCATGGTGGCTTATGCCTATAATCTCAGCATTTTGGAAGGCTGAGGCAGAGGGATTGCCTGAGCCCAGGAGTTTGAGACCAGGCTGGGCAACATGGCGAGACCTCGTCTCAACACCAAAGCAAAAAAATTAGCCAGGCTTGGTGGTGCATACCTGTACTTCCAGCTACTTGGAAGGCTGAGGTGGAAGGATTGCCTGAGCCCAGCAAGTCAAGGCTGTGGTGGCCATGATCGTGCCACTGCACTCCAGCCTGGGTGACAGAGTGAGACTCTGGCTCAGAAAAAAAAAAAAAGAATATATGGTGCAAAAAAACATGGTCTACACTTTCTGGAAGCTGCATCCACCTGGTGACTCTGTGGTGACTAAAACAAGAGGTTCAGAAGATGCGTGTATGGGTTGGGGGGTTCTCTTTTTGGAACCAGCTGCTTTCTCTGAGTCAGGTAAATGTCACTTGGGACTGGGAGGAAGGTGTTGCCTTTGCACACTAAGGTGCGAGGGATAAACTACCAGAAGGTTCCACTGACAGTGCAGAGGCCAAGGGAAAACATTTCCTCTCCCACCAAGGGTTTGCTGAAAGAGCAACTGACAAAAGGCAGTTTTTTTTTTTGAATCACGGAGTCTTACTTTGTCACCCAGGCTGGAATTCGGTGGCTTGACCGGCCCTTACCACTGCCCCTACCTCCCGGGCTCAGGTGATCCTTCTGCCTCAGACCCCTGAATAACTAGGACTTCAGGTATGCCACCACTTCTGTAATTTAAAAAGTTTTGTTTTTTTTTTGTAGCGACAAGCTCTGGTATGTTGCCCAGGCTGCTCCTGAACTCCTGAGCTCAAGCAATCCTTCCACTTTGCCTCCCCAAATGCTAGGATTACAGGCATGAGTCACTATGTCCAGTCAAAAGGCAGATTAACAGGAGAAATGGTGTACAATGTATACATGTGCACAGGGGAAGAGTAGCCATCCAGCCCCCCAATGGGCTAAGAATATTTTGTCCATGCTGAGGTTACAGAAAGAATGGGAGCTTGGAGCATGGTCAAGGTAAGTTATGGTGGTAAATCATGTCCCTGTCCTATCCGCTCCCACGGCACAGCCAATGTTATCTTCTAATAGCATAAATGATATTTCAACTCTCCAACATCACCCCTGCTTCAAGCCCTTACAGTGAGGGAGGCTTGAACCCTGCTCTTCTGCAGCTGGAAGAAATGTGCTCCTTCTATCCCAAGGGCTCGACTAGCCCCAAACACCTGTTGCTTTCTCTTCAGCACTTTGCTGTTTTTGTTTTTTAAAATTTTTTTGAATTGGGGTCTCACTCTGTTGTTGCCCAGGCTGGAGTGCAGTGGCACAGTCACCTCTCACTACTGCCTCAAACTCCTGGACTTGGGTAATCCTCTCTCCTCAACCTCCCGAGTAGCTGAGACTCCCAGCATGTGCCACTATGCTCATCCAGTTTTTTAATTTTTTAATTTTTTTGTAGAGATGAGGTCTCGCTATGTTGCTCAGGCTGACTCTGCTATTTTTTTTTTTTTTTTTTTGAGACCATACCACCATCTGTAAATATTTTGCTTGCTTTTTTCTTTTTTTTTTGGTGGTGCTGTTATATTGCCTATCAGATGTTATGCTTACTAAATTCAGGGATACTTCTGTTTATATCTCATTCATCTTTATCTAGTACCAAGCCCAATGACTAGCCCATGGTAGGCTTTTTTACCTATTGTTTTAAAAAGAATTTCAGTAGCTTTATGGGTACCACTGGCTTTTGGTTACCTAGATGTCTTGTACAGTGGTAAAGAAGTCTGGGCTTTAAGTGTACCCATCACCCCCACTAGAGCACATTGTACCCAATAGGTGATTTTTCAGACATAAAGTTAAGAGAATTTTACAGTGAACACCTGGATACCTATCATCTAGTTTTCATTATGTTTTCTACATCATATATGTATTAGTCTCGTCATCCTTCTATCAATATGTGATTGATTTTAATGAATTTGTTGAATGAATGAATGCATTTTACTCTTTTCATTCATAGCCAGGAGCTGTCCATCCTGAAATTGGCCCAATACAGATACTGAGGTTCCTTGTTTTTGTTTGGACACAGGGTATAGGACCTACGTAAGGTTCTTTATGGTGTGTATCTGAATACTAGATACTCGGCATTCAGAAATAAGGACAATCTGCCCTCCAGGAGCACACCAGTGAGAGGACCTAAATACATCTGTGATGGAAAAAGAAAGAAATAGAAAATGTAGACTAGTGGCCAAGTGTGGTCACTCACTTCTGTAATCCCAACACTTTGGGAGGTTGAGACAAGAGGATCACTTGACCCCAGGAGTTTGAGACCTGCTTGGGTAAAACATAAGACCTTATTTCTACAAAAAATTTTTAAAAAACTAGACAGGTGTGGTGGTGCCAACCTGTAGTCCCAGCTACTCTGGAGGCTGGGGTAGAAGGATCACTTGAGCCCAAGAGGTCAAGGACGCGGTGAGCAGTGATCGTGCCACTGTACCTCAGTCTGGACAACTGAGTGAGACCCACACTCAAGAAAAGAAAGGAAGGAAGGAAGGAAGGAAGGAAGGAAGGAAGGAAGGAAGGAAGGAAGGAAGGAAGGAAGGAAGGAAGGAAAGAAGAGAAAAAGCAAACAAAAAAAGGAAAATGCATACTGGTGATTTTTTTTTCCACAAACAACTTAGTCAAGACTGACTAGTATTATCCTGGTATTAAAACCACCTGATTTATTGGCATTTTGTGTTTTTTGTTGTTGCACAAGTAGGTAAGAGCAATTGTTGACTTGGCTAACACCAGGCAAGAAAATTTTATGATTTTCACCTAGTTCAGTGAGTGACAAATGAAGCCCATTGGAGCCGTGTAACCTTTGGCTTTTCTTGTTTTTAAAGTCTGCACACACCATTGACATATTCAAGTGACAGAAGCAAAGGAAAAACACATAAAGTGTTTCTAAACTAGATGAACCGTGGTCAAGGTAATGTTTCTGCCAAGTCCAGAAAATCAACAGAGCAGGCAAGGAAGGGAGAGCTTACTCTTCTTGTCTACTGCATGCTGACAGACTTTTCCCCTCCCTCAATCTATTTTTAATTATGTTTTTTTGGACTCTGTATTTATTATTTTGATTGCTCAGAGGAAACACCTTCGAAGTGACATCCCAGGGCAGCACTTTGCAATAATCCCTTATTAAGCTTAGCCGTGTCTATTCATGTTTAATTTAACTCTCTTATTTTTAGAAGGAGGATTTTTTGAGAAGGTCAATGCAGTATCTCTGTGACTGAATTTCAAGAGTACTTAGCAGGGGTCCATGTATATAAGGGTGTTGAATCACTGTGAGCTGGGAATGCATCCAAATTCTCACTTCACTGAGAATGCTCTGTTAAATATTTCAAAGTGAAAGCAATCTTTCCAAATAGGCATGTGGGCCTGGGACATGTAGACATCGGTGAGCTCAGCATCCTAGGTACAACAGCAAAGGTGGCAGCTGGAACCTGGATTTCTCATTCCCCCAACCTTGGTTGTCTCCTCATGTCCTTCCTCTTGGACTTGATAGAGTTCCTCTTTCTGACATTGGTGACTCCCAGCCCATCAACTCTCATTTGCGCATGTGCTAAATACTTTCAGGGCCTGGGATTTGCACCCTTGCTATGTTGCTAGTAGTTCATCGACCTTGAACATGAAGTGTGACTTTTTCATGTTCCAGGACCCTTACCTGCAGCGAGAGACCTTAACACCTATTACAACATGTACAATGAGTCCAGCATGCAGACATCCCTTGATAAATGTTAGTTTTACCCTACCACTTTTTAGGTGGGTTACCACATTGGATTAGTAAGAAATGACTACTTTGGGAAGAAATACGTATGAGCCACCTAGATATTTAGTGCAATATGAGGACAACATAAATCTGGAAGTATTTACTTATAAAATCAAACTTCATTTTATTTTGCAAAAATCAAAAAATGCATCTTCAGATCTGGTTCCTCTTCAAAACATGTGTTTGTTTGTTTGTTTTTTGAACAGACATGCAAGTTAATTTGACATGCCAAACAACTCTTTCTCTAGTTCTCCTTGGAAATTTTTTTTTCATAACACAAATAAGGGTGCAAATATTGTCCAAAACCTATTTACATTTTTACCCTTTAGTATTACTAATATTAATATTTATAGAGAAGAAAGCAAAACTGCAAATCTTGGTCTTTGGCATTCACATATGACTCAGCAGTATAATTAAAAACTTATATTTGTTTTTAAGATAAACACTTTGAAGGAAATTTAATAAATCTTGTTTCTGCTCTGTAGAGGAGTTACCATTTCAAAGCATTTAACTGGAGCTGTCGAGTTCCTGCTGATAGAATATTACTTCCAGTCTATTTATTAGCTTTTCTTCCTGTAGCCCAATACATGCTTTTCCCCCTACACTGAATGAAAGCACAGAAAGAAAATTATTTTTTTTCTCCTCCTCTCCCTAGGATCATGCAAGACAAAGGCAATGTCACAAGTCACAATATCTGAATGTACTTGGATTGTATTTTTTGTTTCTTACACTTAAAATTATTTTGTATCATAATACTTTGTTATCTAAAATCAACATTGTTGATTTTAAACAGTTACAAAACGAGATTTTAAGAAGAATTTAAAATAATTTGTGAACTATGTAGGAAAGAAGATAATTGCTTCCAGCTTATTCTTTTGCATTTGAAGTAAGATAATTTTAGATATTAGAAGTTTATTAAAAAATAAAACTTTAGGGGGTTTATTATAGTTTATTCACATCTTTCTATACATTGTAAACAACAATAGGATACTTCTGACAGTAGCCTGTGAATAATTTTTTAAAAATATAGACTAGGTATCAAGGGAACATTTTAAATACGAGTCTGGTAGGTCTGCTATGAACCTATTTTCCAGAAAAAATTTATATGAAATTGTTCTGATTAAAAAAAACAAAACTAAGGTCATAGATTTGCACTGAGCGAGTGTGATACATGAGGTAAAGTCATTACATTATCTATGGTCTGATGCACAATGTGGCGTGTACAGAAGAAACCAGAGACATCTATTTCCAATTCCAGGAAGGATAGAAGAGTGCATGTGGAAGAAGGTGCTTTTCAGGTCAGAGAGGAAAATAAGACATAGTCACCAAAATCCATCAGTTGTAAGCGATGTATAAATATGCAATGCCATTTCACAGAATGCAAACAAGATCAATTAGAAATTGTACTGTGATAGCCACATATTTTGGAAAAAAATTCCCAAGCCAGGCGAATGTGGATTGGGATAAAGACATAGGCGGTGTACACCACCATTGCAAAGATGGTGAGCAGGATGGTGTTGAACATTGATCGTTCCCAGGGCTCCAAGACAGCACAGCAGCTAATGATTTGGTACTGATAGTACAGCCAGGAGAAATATTCCTTCACACGCTGGAGATCCATGGCTACGGAAGGTCTGTCCTGTCAAAGAATGTCACAGATTAGATGGAAAATAAAATAAGGACTGTAACACAGGATCTTTTTAAACCTTCATGATTTCAGTATGCTAAAATCTTTCAAGGAATGCTAAAGATCATGAGTGGGTGCGGTGGCTCACACCTGTAATCCCAGCACTTTGGGAGGCTGAGGTGGGAGGATTGCTTGAACCCAGGAGTTGGGGACCAGCCAGGGCAACACAGTGAAACCTTGTCTCTACAAAAAATAAAAACAAAAATTAGGTGGGCTGGTGGCATGCGCCTGCAGTCCCAGCTTCTCAGGAGGCTGAGCAGAAGGATTGCCTGAGCCTGGGAAGTCAAGACTTCAGTGAACTGTGATCATGCCACTGCACTCCAGCCTGGGTGACAGAGTGACACTCCGACTCAAAAAAATGTAAAGATTATTGAGTGGATGATTACTGTGAATATTATTATTATGTAATGAATATTATTATTATGTAATGAATAATATTATATTATATTATAATCATTATGTAGAAATGAAACATGATACAGAATACCTTAATTATAGAAATCAATAACATTGCCACTATTACTAATGATTACTACTAAAATTTGCAGTGGTGATATTATGAGTTACAATAGTAACTATGTAAAAATGATCATTGCTAGAAATAACTCTAGTGCTAACAGCACCTAAAAATTGAGGCTAGTCACTATCTCACTAGCCATATATATACAAACAGAGATAAACCTGAATGTTTCTATTTCCTACAACATATATTCTAGAAAAAGATTTTTTAAATGGTGTGCAGAAAAGAGATAACCTAGCAGGCTCCAGCTTGCTAATCTTCAGAGGGGCAAGTCTGGCCCTCGGCTGGCGTCTGAGAACTTGGCTTTTGGAATGTACTCTCCATTCCCTCACAGATAAGGATGATTCGGTGCCTAGACTGCACAAGCAATGTAATTTGCAATGAACACCTATGGTATTCTGGTATTCTGGAATTTTGGTAACTGCTAGGCAAAAGGTGCCCATGTGACCAGCCCCAGTATAAATGTTGGATCTTCCTGGGCAGAAACATTGCACGTACGTCACTGCATTTTTTTACTGGTAGAGAAAGGTGCATACTCAATGTATTTACTCATTGGAGCATCAGAAGCCTCTATGTGGGGCCGAGTGCAGTGGTTCATGCCTGTAATCCCAGTACTTTAGGAGGCTACGGCCAGGAGTTCAAGACCAGCCTGGGCAACATAGTTAGACCTCATCTCAACAAAAACGACCAAAATTAGCCGGGTGTGGTGGTGCGTGCCTGTAGTTCCAGCTACTCGGGAGGCTAAGGCGAAAGGATCACCTGAGTCCGGGAGGTTGAGGCTGTGATGAGCCATAATCATGCCTCCTGCCACTGCACTCCAGCCTGGGCAACAGAGTGAGACCCTGACTCAAGAAATTAAAACACACACACACTCACACACACGCCTGTATGTGAATTTCTACAGATTCTGCCTGTGTCTTCTTTCCTTGTTGATCTTATTTTATAGTCTTAGCTGTGAGGATAAATATATGTTGAGTCCCATGAGTCTTTCTAGTGAATCACTGATCCACTGTGGGTGATCTTGGGGACCCTCCCCACAAATCAAACAGGAAAGCTAAAGTGTAGTTTTGGATGACCACTGGTTATGTGGTGCAGAATGTATGAAAGCCATGCAAGTATTTTGTTGATCTTTAGATAGAACCACAGTTTTAACCACATGGAAAACTTCCCAGAAAGAAGAGCACCTAACATTCTTTAGAAAGATTTCTGAGAAGATTTTGGAGGCTTCCAGAGGCGTCATGATGGTGTCTTTGGGAAAACAGACTCACCTCTGTGCCTCTTCAGCTTACTACTCAGAATAAGATGGTGCCCCATCGTCAAAGTCCACTTTGGTAGATTTTACTATTCCAATCACAGCTAACATTTTTTGAAGCTATGTCTTCTAACCTGAAAGTGTCTCTTTTTTCTTTAATCTTTTTTTGAGTAAAAGAAGATGTCTTTGCTCTACAAGACTATAAACTCCTTAGGCAATGGGGAGACTCTCACTGATCCTTGTACGCTGGGCCCTATAATAAATGCTTGCCACAAAGATGGCCATCAGTAAATATTTGCAAAATAAGCGAATGAATGACAAATAACTTAAAAAATAATTATAGACCACTCATAGCTCCAATGTAAGTAGAATAGAGTTAGCTATTATTGATTTCTTTTTTCTTTTCTTTCCTTCTCTCCCTCTCTTTCTCTGTCTGAGTCAGGGTCTCACTCTATCACTCAGGCTGGAGTGCAGTGGCATGATCACAGCTCACTGTAGCCTCAACCTCCTGGACTCAGGTGATCCTTCTACCTCAGCTGGGACTACAGGTATGTGCCACCATGCCCGGCTAATTTTTTTGTTTTCTGTAGAGTCTCACTATGTTACCCAAGTTGTCTCGAACTCCTGGGCCCAAGCAATCCTCCCAGCTCAGTCTCCCAAAGTGCTGGGATTACAGGCATGAGTCACTGTACCAGGCCCAGTTCAAAAAAATCTACACCTCTTCTCGTCCCGTGGGCATTACTGCTTCAGAATCAACAGTGTACTGAGAACCTTTTAAAAATATTCTTAATGCTCTTTTCATTTTTACAAAGGAGAGAATATTCTCATTTAGAAATATCATTGACTTTTTCTCTATACACTGTAGCTTTCAAAAAGACAGCAATATATTCATCTTTCCCTTATTGATGAGAAGCAATTTTAAAGATGGTTTGTGATTTTTTATTGTGAAAGGGTGAGGAGAGAGAGAGAGGTGGTTATTATTGGGACACCATCTGCCACACTCTATTGTGAGAATATGCACTATTTTTAGGCCCTAGGTTTGCTTAGGTAATCTATTTCTACCTCCTTGTGAGTCCATTTTCTTATCTCTTATGGGACTACATGCAAAAATTTAAAAAACCCACTTTAGACAATATGATGAGTAATGTGGGTAGGAGAATTCATTCATTCATTGAGCAAATCCATGCAGAGCACTACTCTGGCTCCTTCTGACTAGTAATGGCTGCAGAAGGACTTGAGCCCCCAAAGCACTGTAGGGAGGAGATGATGTTCAAGGCAGCAGCAAACTGGACCTTGTAACAAACATGCAGTGAATGAGGGCCTGGGAATTAAGCACTCAATGTGGGGAGAGAACATGGAAAAATGCCAAGAAGGAAGCTAGAAAAAGAGGCTGAATGTGAGGAAACAAGACAACAAAAATGCTATGAAATTAGTTATCCATAAGTAACCTGGGACCCAATGATGGCACACATCTTAATGCCTTAAACTTTCAGAATGAAATATGAAATTAATCTACCTGCTCCCTTGAAGATCTAATGTAGTATCTCAGCAAAGCTAAGCACAGAACTTGGAAAGTTTATTCACGTGCACCACGTATCTCTTGTTCTTAGTTATATGCTTTTTAAAAAGATGGCTTTCAACATATGGAAAAGAGGAAGATAGGAGTCTCCTTTTTCTTTTTCCTTTAACTTGATGACTTTTCAAACCCTCAGAACTTTTTTTTTTTTTTTTAGTTGGAGTCTCACTCTGTTGCCCAGGTTGGAGTGCAGTGGCATGCCCAGGGCCACCCCAGCATCGACCTGCTGGGCGCTGGTGATCCTTCTGCCTCAGCCTTCCTAGTAACCGGAACTACAGAAGCATGCTACCACACCCAGCTAATTTTTGATTTATTGTAAGGACGAGGTCTTGCCAAGTTGCCCAGGCTGGTCTCGAACCCTCGGGCTCAGGCAATCCATTTGCTTTGGCCTCCCAAAGTTCTGGGATTACAGACTGAGTCACCGAGCCTGGCCCCTCAGATTTTTAATGAGGTTAAGCATTCAAAGGTGGCACTGCCCAGGCAGACTGCGACATGTCTTCCGGCAGGGACCCGGGGACCCAGGGACCCAGATATGAGTTGACTCCAACATGCTGAAGTTGCATGATGGCAATTGCTATAGACTGAATGTTTGTGTCCTAGAAGTCCACCAAGAGGTTATCTTATCACTGAATGGAGAGTCAATTCTTCTGTCTGAATGTTACTCTCCTTTTCATCCATGGGTGGTGATTTTTCCCTCTGTAGATTTGTGTGCCATGGGGAAGGAGATGAAAGTGTCATCTACTCTCTCAGACTGAGGGTGAAAAGCCCCACTGCTCATCACCCATATTCCTCGGGAGAAGGGCTCTGTTCTGGCCTGAATGGAGAAGACAGTGAAGAAATGGAGCAATGAAAGAAACACGTGTTAACATGAACCCGGTGTGTATGAGTCATGAAATGAGAATACTGCTGAGAGACTTTTTTTTTTTTTTTTTGAGTAGGAGTCTCACTCTGTCACTCAGGCTGGAGTGCACTGGCATGCACACGGCCACCGCAGCCTCCACCTGCTGGACTCAGGCCATCCTTCCATCTCAGCCTTCTAAGTAGCTGGAACTACAGGTGTGAGCCACTGTGCCCAGCTTGCTGAAAGAATCTTAATGGGAAAGCAGCGTCTGGACTTGCTCAGGAAGTTCCCTGTTGTTGTTTTCTGTCCTGGAACTGGAATGGTAGGAGGTTAGGCAACTCAATGAAAGATGAGAGGCAGGTGATTGGATACGGTGGCATTTACCTTGTGGATATTGCAGAAGATGGGACTCTGCAACCCTCCCCTGCTTAAACAAACAGACAAAAACCCCCTCCAAATTATTGGGCTTTCCCAGTAAGGAATTTCCCTTTCTAAAAAGTAGCTATCCTTCTGGGGAAGAAAGACAACACATTTTGGTTTTAATTTACTTCTAGAACATCAGAAAGTCAGAAGGACCTGCAATCGATTTTAGGTTAAGTCCCTCTCAACTCATTTTGGAATTCTAAATCAATCATGTAGTTGTTTTGTGTGTGTGTGATCCATATTTTGAACCTGAAAATCTGAGAAGTGATATAAGTGTCCTGCTTGCTGCAGAGAGAGAGAGATGCTGTATCTAAAAAGAGACTGTGTCTGCACACAGAGT